CAGCATTTTCCCCACCACCGATGTCAGGCTAACTGGTCTATAATTCCCCATTTTCCCTCTCACTCCTTTTTTAAAAGATAGGGTTACATTAGGTACCGTGCAGTCCATTGGAACTCTTCCAGAGTCTCCAGAATGCTGGAAAATGCTCACCAATGCATCCACTATTTCTAGGGCTACTTCCTTAAGTACTGTGGGATGCAGAGCATCAGGCCCTGGGGACTTATCGGGTTTTAATCCCATCAATTTCCTGAATACCATTTCCTGACTCAGGGATTTCCTTCAGTTCCTCCATCATGCTTGCCCCTTTGTCCCCTAGCATTTCTGGAAGGTTATTTGTGTCCTCCTTAGTGAAGGTAGATCCAAACTATTTGTTCAAGTGGACTGCCATCTCTTTGTTGTCTATTGTGAATTCACCTGATTTGAACTGCAAGGTACCTAGATTTATCTTTGAGTCTTTTTCTCCTCACATATCTATAGAAGCATTTGCAGTCAGTTTTCCACAAGCATACTTTCATATTCTATTTCCCCTTCCAAATTAAACTCTTTGTCCTCCTCTGCTGAATTTTACATTTCTCCCAGTCCTTCGGTTTTCTGCCTTTTCTAGCCAGTTTATATGCCTCCTCTTTAGCTTTAACAGGGTTCCTGATTTCCCTTGTTAGCCATCGTTGAGCCACCTTCTCTGTTTTATTCTTACGCCAGACAGGGATGTACAATTGTTGAAGTTCATCTGTGTGTTCTTTAAATGTCTGACACTGCTTAACCACTGTCAACCCGTGGGTATCCTTGGCCAGCTTATCTCAGCCAATGCATGCTTCATACCATCAAAGTTTGCTTCCTTTAAGTTAAGGAACATAGTTTCAGATTTAATTGTGTTACTCTCCATCTTAATGAGGAATTCTACCATATTATGATCACTCTTCTCCAAAGGATCTCACACCACAATGTTGCTAATTAATCCTCTCTCATTACACAATACCCTGTCTGGGATGGCTTACTCTCTGGTTGATTCCTAAATATATTGGTCAAGGAAACCATCCCTCATTTGTTCCAGGAAATCCTCTTCCATTGCATTGCTACCAGTCTGGTTAGTCCAATCAATATGTAGATTGAAATCACCCATTATACTGCTGTACCCTTACTGCATGCATCTCCAATTTCCTGTTAGATACAGTCCCCTGCGTCACAACTACTGTTTGCTGGTCAGTACACAATTCCCTCCAAAGTCTTTTTCCCTTTGCGTTTCTGCAGCTCCATCCATCTTCCCCATCTTCCAGGCTCATGTCTTCCCTTACTATTGTGTTAATCCTTCCTTAACCAGCAATGCTACCCCACCTCCCTTTCCTTTCTGTCTGTCTTTCCTGAAAATGAAATAACCCTGGACATTGAGTTCCCATCCTTGGTCACCCTGGAGCCAGGCCTCTGTGATCCCAGTTATATCATATCCATTAATAACTGTTTGCACAGTTATTTCATCCACATTATTACAAATGCTCTTCGCATTGAGACACAGAGTCTTTGGGCTAATTCTTTTCAACATTTATTGCCCTTTTAGAATCATTGGAAAATGTGGCCCTTTTTGATTTGGTTTGACACAGTCTCAGGATGCAGGGTAGACTATTCAGGACTAAGATGAACAATTTCTTCACTCAGTAGTGAACTTGTGGAATTTTCTACCACAGAAGGCTGTGGAGACCATGTCACTGAATATATTCAAGAAAGAATGTGACAAATACTGGAGATTACATCTAGACTCGAAATGTTAGCTTGCTGTCAGTCCATGGATGCTGTCTGACCTGCTGCAATCTCCAACATTTGTTGTTTTCAGTACAGGTTCCAGCATCTGCAGTAATTTGCTCCTATATTCAAGAAAGAGTTGGATAAATGCTTAGAATTTAAAAGAATCAAGGGATATTGGGAGAAAGGGGGGAAAATGGTGTTGACATAGAGGGTCAGCCATGATCATATTGAATGGTGGAGCAGGGCCTGTGTTTCTATGTCTTTACCCAACATAATGTTACTGTGACTTCTTAAATATTGAGTACTTCGCAAATGGTAAAAGGTTGGAAAGTTTAGATGTACAGAGAGACCCTGAGTGTGCAGGTGCAGCAAGCTGTTAAGAAGGCTAATGGAATGTTAGTCTTTATTGCAAGAGAATTTGAGTACAGCAGTAATGAAACCTTACTTCAATTATATAGGAGCTTGGTTTAGATTGTATGTGGAGTACTGTATGCAGTTTGGTCTCCTTATCTCAGGAAATTATAATTGCCACAGAAGGAGTTCAATAAAGGCTAATCAGGAACAAAAACAGAAGTTGCTGGAAAAGCTCTGCGGGTCTGGCAGCACATGTGAAGAAAAAATCAGAGTTAATGTTTCGGGTCCAGTGACCCCTCCTCAGAACTGACAGAAATGTTCTATGGAGAGAGATTGGATGAACTTGGCCTGAATTCTCTGTGATTTTGAAGGATGAGAGGTAATCTGATTGAAATCTACAAAATACCTAAAAAGGATAGACAAGGTAGATGCAGGTAAGAACTAAGATGCAAGAACCAGATGACGCAATTTAAAGATGAGGGGGGATTCACTTGGGTCTTAGATAAGGTTAATTTCTTCTTACTCAGCAGGGTGACTCTTTGGAATTCTATACCGCAGAGGGCTATGTAAGCTCAACTATTGAGTATGTTTAAAGTACAAATTGACAAATGTCTAATGAAAAGAGATATGGAGCTAGTGTGAGCAAAAGGCATTGCAGCAATGATGGTGTTGAATGGTGAAACAGACTTGATGAGCTGATTGGCCGACTGCTGCTCCAGTGTTCCGAGGTCTTCAGTCAGGGCACAGTCTTTCAAGAGGAATGTGCTGAGCAGGCTCAACTAAGCACTTCCGGTGTGGAACTGCAAGATCTGGGATCAAAAGGAGGCAAAATGTATATGGTGATGTAGCAAAGCTGAGCTCTTCTGTTCCAGGAGTGGGAATCTGGGACTTGGATGCTAATAAAGCAAGACATGAAGAAAACGGAAGTTCGAATGAATGGTCACAGTGCTGAAACATTAACTCTGTTTCCCTCTCCACAGATGTTGCCAGAATTGCTGAGTATTTCTAACATTGTTTAAAGTTACCAAATCTCTTATGGTGTTTCCAGCCGCTGACTTTCATCATCTCTGTCCACTCCCATCGCCTTTGTCCAATACCTCCATTCACTCCACTCCCATCGCTTTCACTCAGTCTACTCCTGTTGCCTGGACTAATTGCATTCCCATCGCACCGACGACTCACGTCACTCTCTCCTAGCCTCATTGCCTCCACCCACTCTGCTGCAACCACCCCACACATCATTCCTGCTTGTCCCATCAACTGCACCTGCCTATTGCCTCCATTCCTCCATTTCTGTTGCCTTTGCTCAGTTCACAATTGTGTTCAATAAAAATCTGGAGTTAAAAAGTCTCTCAAACAGAAAATCATAGCAATTGATGTAAAAACACATCGGGTTTACAGTTATCCTTTAGGGAAGGAAAGCTGCCATCCTTACCTTACCTGGCCTGGCCTACATGCAACTTCAGACCCAAAGCAATGCAATAGGCTCTTGTCTGCCCTCTGAAATGGAGGAGCAATCTATTTAATGGTACCAACTGTGAAAAAATTCTCAAAAAATGAATGAATTGGAATGGACCACCTGATATCAACCCAGGCACCAGAAACAATAATGGCTAACACTACCTTATTGACCCTGCGAAACCATGCCTGCTAACACTTGGGGGCTGGTACCAAAATTGAGAGAACTGTCTAACGAACTAGTCAGGTTACAGCTTGACATAGTCATACCTTGCACATAACATCCCAGACAACATTGTCACCATCCCTGGAAATGTCCTGATCTGCCTCAGGACAGACTCAGCAGAGGTGATAGCACAGTAGTATGCTGTCATAGACTTCCAAAAGATCAAGCAACTGCAGACTGGGTTTTTACATCAATGAGGCACAGTGGGTCACCATCAATGACAATCTGCATGGCATGGCAAAATGCCCCCATTTCTCCATTAACCTCAAGCCAGGAAATCAGCCTTGGCTTCGTGAAGATTACAGGAGGGCATGCCTAAAAATGAAGTGTCAAACTACTTAACAGGTCTGCTGATCTGCCACATAGCACAAGCAGCAAGTGACAGACAGAGCTAAGTGATTCCATAACCAATGGATTAATTCTAAGTTCTACAGTCCTCCTACTTCCAGCCGTGAGTGATGCTGGATAATTAAACAACTCGTTGGAGGGCAAGGTGCCACAATATCCACATTGTCAATGGTGGGAGAACCTAGCATATTAATGCAAAAGACAAGGCTGAAGCATTTGCAACAGTCTTCAGCTTGGCACTTCTGGCTAATGATCCATCTCGGCCTCCTCCAGTGGTCCTCAGCATCACAGTTGCCAGTCTTCAGCCAATTTGATTCACTCCCTGTGATATCAAGACATAGCTGGAGGCACTGGATACTGCAAAGACTAAAGGTGCTGACAACATTCCAGCAATAGTACTGCACTGGACTAGCCGTATAAATATAGTAGCTACAAAAGAAGGTCAGAGGCTAAGAGTCCTGCGGGGAATGCCTCATGTCCTGATTCCCCAAAGCCTGTCCACTATCTACAAGGCACAAGTCAGGAGTGTGATGGAATACTGCCCATTTGCCTGGATGAGTGCAGCTCCAACAACACTCTGAAGTCTTGTGCTGCAGAGCTTGCCACACCCCTAGGCAAGCTGTTCCAGTACAGTTACAACACTGGCATGTGCTTGACAATGTGGAAAATAACCAAAGAATGTCCTGTATGTAAAAAGCAAGAGAAATTCAACTCAGCCAATTACTATCCCATCAGTAAAGTGATGAACGATGTCATCAACAGAGCTTTTGGGCAGCGCTTGCTTAGCAACATCCTGTTTACTGACACCCAGTTTTGGTTCCACCAGGGCTACTCAGCTCCTGACCTCATAACAGCCTTGGTTCAAACATGGACAATAATGCCGTGTTCCAAGGTAAGGGGAGAATGACCGCTGTTGACATCAAGGCCACACTTGATCAAGTGTACATCAGGGAATCCTAGCAAAACTGAAGTCCATAGCAATGAAGAAAACGCTGCTGGTTGCAGTTATACCTTCCATGAAGCACGATGATTGTGATTGTTGGAGGTCAGTCGTTTCAGCACCAGAACATCTCTATTGGCATGCCTCAGGGTAGTGTCCTAGGCCCAACCATCTTCAGCTGTTTCATCAATGACCTTCCTGCAATCATAAGGTCAGCAATGGGGATGTTCGCTGATGATTGCACAATGTTCAGTACCATTCACAATTCCTCAGTAACTGAAGCAGTCAGTGTCCAAATGCAACAAGATCTGGACAGGTTTTGATAGACAGGTAGCAAGAAGCATTCACACTACATAAGTGCCAGGCAATGACCATTTCCAACAAGAAAGAACATAAATGTATTCCTTTGATATTCAATGGCATGACCATTGCTGAACCTCCCACTGTCAACATCTGGGGGTTACTACTGACCGGATGCTCCACTGGTCTAGCTACATAAACACTGTAGCTACAAGAGCAGGTCAAAGGCTGGGGGTCCTGTGGGGAGTAACACACATCCTGATCCCAAAAGCCTATCCACCATCTATAAGGCACAAGTAAGGAGTATGATGGAATGCTTCCCACTTGCAGCTCCAGCAACACTCAAGAAGATTGGCACCATCCAGGACAAAGCAGCCGACTCAGTAGGCACTGCATCCACGTACATCCACTGACACTCAATAGCAGTGGTGTGTATGATCCACCAGATCCACTGTAGAAATTCACCAACGGAGCTTCTAAATCCACAACTGAAATCGTCTAGAAGGATGAGGGCAGCAGATGCACAGGAGAGCCAGCACCTGCATGTTCCCCTCCAAGTCACTCACCGTCCTAACTTGGAAATATAACGCCATTCCTTCACTGTCACTGAGTCAATATTCTGGAACTCTTTCCCTAACAGCATTGTGGGTGCAAATACACCAAATGGAATGTAGCAGTTCAAGAAGACAGCTCACCATCACTTTTCCAAAGGCAAGTAGGGATGGGTGATAAATGCTGGACCAGCTTGAAGTGCCAACATTGCAAAAAGGATTTTAAAAAAACCCATCGCCTCTGCCCTCTCCACTTCCGTTGCCTTTGTCCTCTTTGCTGTCATTTCCTCCTCCCTCTCCATAACCCTTGCTTTCACTCACTCTAGTACCATCACATCCACCTTCTTTGTTCCTATTAACTGCCCCCAATCTTCTCCCATCATTCCATCCATTTACTCCCATTGCCACTGCTAGATCGTTTCCATCTCCATCACTTGCTCGATCCCATCCATTGCCACCTGTATATTCATTCCCATCTCCATCGCGGGTAACACCTGGATGCTCCTGCCCAACTCTGCCACTCTTATCACTCGGTCATTCTCAACTCCACTGCGCGCAACAGTTGTTCATTCCCATCTCCACTGCTAGCATCACTTGCTTGCTGTTATTTCTTCTATTTGCATCATTCACTCCCTCCCGTCCATCCCCAGTGCTCACAACACTCACTTGCTCCCATCTCCACTGCTTGCAACACTCACTCACTCCCATTGCTGTCCCCTAAATC